TGCTCCCTCGAAAACTCTGCAGCAGAACTGGCAGATGCGTTAGTTCAGGTGCGAACCGGAAGTGAGTTTAAGTCAGTCCCGGTAACGGGAAAATAGCACTGCCCCCCGAGTTTGTTTTTCACTGCGCATGTTGAAGTTACTCGAGAAAATAATACTTTCCTCACTTTAGACCTTAACACCAAGAAATTAACTCAATCAAATTTGCTGTGTGGGGTATAACTCTCCCTGCAACCCTGATTTGCATTTTGATAGCTCACAGCATTTTCCTTTACATGTGAAAGCCTCCCCTAGAAATAGGAGGAGGGGGGTCATGGGGGGACAACTGCCAAGCAAGGCCCATGTCAATTTCTGACAATTCATGGCAGTTTTCGACTATGCCTGCAAATTACCATGAACAGCCGTTAACCTGAACTTCCACGACGTCTGCAGTGCCGTATAGTGACAAAATTTACACTTTTAATGCAGTGAGTGTTAATTTACTAAGATTATCATAATATACGCTGAAACAGCTTTGTTGACTGTGATTTATTTACCAAGGCAATTCAAAACACATTAATGCAGCAGTTCAATTCCGTAATTACAATACACTTGATAATATTCTAGGCCAGAGTGTTTCGTGATCAATGAGGCCCAAACGAGTCCGTAAGCTCAGTCCAAACAGTTAGCATTGCATCAACCACAAGAAAGGAGCGGTCTTACTTTGGCTGCGTTGCGGTGGTGGGAAAGAAGCGTTTTGTTGTAGAGAGTCTGAAGTGCACACTTTTGCATGCTGTCCATTTTGTGTGTGATCTAATGATGACAAGGCCAGAGAAAGAGAGTTCTTCCGCTTTGTTTAAAGACGGAGGCACAAGGCTTTTGGAGGCTGTGCAGCAGATCCTCCTTTGAAGATGGCAGGAGGTCAAGAGAGCTAGGTAGCAGCAAACAGCAGAGGAAAACTGTTCTTGTTGGCCTAGTCCCACCCACGCCTTGCAGACTCACACATGACCTCCATTGTTTGGAGATATTTATGCTACACCCACATCACAAATAGAATACATATCTACAGTGTGCATTATATTGGTGAATATTGTCATCGCGTTATTGTGTTCTTAATCCAGATAGAAGTTCATTATTTCCTTGATGATATAGAGAGGGTGAGATAATCCAGAGAGGGGGGTCGCTGAGTGCTGGGGCCAAACCAGCAGGGGCCAAACCAGCAGGGGCCAAACCAGCTGGGGCCAAACTAGCTTCAGCATCAGCTCAACAGGAGGCTGACACCAGATCAAAGGGGTCCCCATTGTCGTAAAACTGGCCTCAGTCACTTTGCTGATTCAGAATGAGATAAGGCCCATTCTTGGGGACTCCTGTGCACCACGACACCCTACATATCAAATAGAGTGTAATTTACTCAATAAATACAACTGTTCTGTGAGAGCCTAACGGCGCGTTCAAACCGCCGACGATGGTTCGCTGACGCCACGCGCACCAGTTTATTTTATTATTAAACTGTACTTCCGCATCGGCGAACAGGCTCAAAGCCGTTGCATAAAGTCACGGGAGCATGAAAACAAATTTGTTCACAAGCACTGTGTCCCCCACTGTCAACCCTGGTTTAGTCCTGATGTAGCTCCTGTTTTGGCTGTTTACGAGTATTTTCAGTCAACTCGCTCAGACCGCTAATGTCCCCGTGACCACTTTGCGGCTTTCTGATTGGTCGCTGCACGAGCGTCCTGAAGAAACGCTCAGCACCATTTACCTCCTGCGTGCGTCGATTTTCTGCTCTTGTGCCTCTGTAGCACCTTTGCCGCGCAATTTGTGTGTCTCTACCGCCCAGTACGTGCATACATCCCGAGACGCACATGCAGTTCCATGCTCGAACACGCGTCACCATTGACTTTGCATTGAAAGTGGCCGCAACGCATTATCCAGTCTGAACTCAGCTTAAGAGCTATGGTCGGAGTGCATTGGTCACTAAACGGCATCATTGAGGTTAACGAGCACACCAGAGAGGTTGGGGACAGGGTTGTAGAGAAGTAAGCAGCATTAAAGCTGCACTAACTGACTTTATTTTCATATTCATCACGAAAATGCTATCCATGTCCATGTAGTGCATTGGGATATACGTCCTTTTGAAGAAAAAGTAGCGCATATTTGTGCTGGCGTGACATTATATTTTAGATCGAGTTTTGATGAAAAAAGGAAGAGAATGTGTTTCGGGTCTCTGATTGTGACCAATCACAGCGGACCAATAGCCCCCACTTTTGTGAGAAATCTACAGGTCCGTTAGCATAGACGGCTGAGTTAGCACAACAAGCGGCGGAGGCTAACCTGAAACTTTCTCAACTTCGTCACCGGTTACTGCTTACACAGCGAGACAGCCATCCAAAAGAAAGTCTCGTTCCTCCGCGCTTCCCGGTTCTATCGTTTTATGGTCACGCCATCCACGTGCAAATCCATATCCATGTATTATCCATATCGGGAGACACTAGCTCCGTCAACAACAGTGAGTGTGTGTGGGGGGCGATAGCTTCGTGGGTGCGGGGAGGGGAGCAGAAAGAGAGAGGCCAGCGAGTCCACGACTTCAAAATCCCAAAGTCAGTTTGTGCAGCTTTAAGTTATACCAAGATTTCCTAAGATTTTAACCAGTGGCGGCCGGCCAATAGAGGGCGCTAGGGCGCCGCCCCACCACTCACAACTTGCCATGTTACCTTGAATAAAACGTTAAAAAAAATAATAACATTAAAATATTTCGAAATTTATGTGTGTTTTATTTCAGATGTGGAAGAAATACTTTATAGTTTATGCTGAGTTGGATTGATTAAGCTCATCAGCGTTGTCTGTGTCGGACTGAGGACGTATTTCCGCCTCAGGGCGCAAAAGATTGCGCCCTGAGCCGTCTATGGACTCTCGTTAAAAGTTGTACATGCGCAGTAGCTCCTCTTCAATGCAAGAGATAAGACGATTTGGGGGCGCAGGAGAAGTGCGCCCTGAGGGGGCGGGATCGCCCGCGACCTGTACTGTCACTGTCTGTGACGTCCGTTTACAGTGATTGACAGGTCAAGTTTGAGACGAACGTAAAGAGACGCAAAATGGAGAACGAGAAAAAGAATAATTCAGTTAGATCACTCAAAACAATACCGTTTGAGAGAAGATCATACCAGGAGAAGGTTGAGGTTAAAGAGCTTGGACCTGATCAGCCAAATATTACGATTAGTCAGCAGTCCAGCGACAGGGGGAGACGGTACACTCGTACTTTTTCCAGGACCTGGTTCAGCGCCAAATCTTGGCTAGCAGCATGTAGCGAGGCTAATGCTTTATTTTGCTTTCCATGCCTCTTGTTTCAAACATCAGGATCTGATCCAGCATGGATCAAGACAGGTATGACTGATCTGAAGCACTTTTTAGAAAAGGCAAAGAAGCATGAGCAGACTGGTATCCACATGCAAAATGCCCTCAAATTAGCTATGTTTGGGAAGATAAATATTTCATCCCAGCTGGATGAAAGCTACAGGGTAGGGATCAGAAAGCATCCCTACCCTGCTGGTATATATCTAGTCATCATATTCATAGCCCCCCCAGTAGAAAATTCCACCAGCCGCCACTGATTTTAACATCTCACAGAGCACTGTTCAATCCATCATTTGAAAATGAAAACAGTATGACACCACTGCAACATTTCCCAACCATGACATGGCCTTCACCTAAACTAACAGATCGAACAGATCAGAAAGGCAACTAAGTGCCCCAAGATGACTCTGTAATAGCTGTTAACAAACCTCATGCCTTAAGCCTGACTTCACATTCAACCGTGACTGATGGAGCTCTGCCTTCACACTTGGTTCTCATTGGGGCTGATGGAGCTCTTCCTTCACAGGGCAGGGTTAGATCAAATCCAGGCTTGTTTGTGGCCAGATGTCCCACAGGAAAAGGACCACAACATTCCAGCTCAAACACCACTGCTACTGTCGCTTCCATCACCATACCATCATGAGTACAAGGAGACACACTTGATGTCTTCGTTTGAAACTATTGGAGCTATCTATGACTCCAGTCTTGCTTTTGTAGGGGTTATTGAAGTCGATATCACACATAAGTTTAACTTAAGTTATTTATTTGATATCATAGATTTGGGTCGAAAACAATCATGTAGTAAGTACAATAATTGATACTAGCTTTATTTTGGGGCACCTGTGAATAAATCACTACTGATAACGTGCGTATGACGTCACGTTTTCTATTAATTGGCTCATTTATTGATTCAGTAATCTTATGAGTCATTAATTATTTTATTAGCTATAAGTCCAATTCTCTTCAATAGAATCTAAAGGCATGAATCCTTGTACTTTTCAGTAACCATTTCTGGAGTTAAATCAGCACAAATATCACTTTCAGACTAAGATGGTTTTCTAGATTTACTGCAGTATAGACAATACAGATTAGTTATGAAATATGCAAATTGTCAAGAATAACATGAAGAAAACGCTGATTGCAAGATACAAGGTTAAATTGCTAAGGCTAAGGTGAGATAAGGCTAAGGTGAGGGCCTTTGTCCTTCTAAATTGATTGGTAGGCTGAGAGGCAAATTTATTTGTATCTCACAGTTCATACATAAGGCAAGGGAGCTGAGCTGAAATGCTGATTTTACCGGTCAATCTTCATACCCTCCCTCACCTATGGTCATGAGCTTTGGGTAATGACTGAAAGGCCAAGATCGCGGATACAAGCGGTCGAAATGAGCTTCCTCCGCAGAGTGTCTGGGCGCTCCCTTAGAGATAGTGTGAGGAGCCTAGTCACACGGAAAGATTTCAGAGTAGAGCCACTGCTTCTCCACGTTAAGAGGAACCTTAACGTGGAGCCCGTTAACGTGGAGCCCGGGGAAGACCCAGGACACGCTGGAGGGACTATGTCTCTCCAGCAACAGTTACATATATATGAACTGTAAAAAAGTTTGTTCTGTTTTAAAGTTTGCAGTTGTGATGCATTGTGTGGAACAAAAATTTAAATTGTGTGTTTGGTTCTAGTTTTGGCATGAACCATGACGGCATTGGGAATGGCTGTGGTCCACGCAGCCAGGAGACAGCCAAGCTCATGGCTGACCACATCACCATGAAGACCAACCCGTTCATCTGGTCAGCCTGCAGCAGGGATTACATCACCAGCTTCTTGGAGTGAGTCACATACTGATGCTGAGTGCATTTACAAAGCACTCCTCTAGTCAATTTAATTAAAATATTGAACAAGGCTCATGTAAATCCATGCTGCAAATTGAGGTGTGAAAAACCAGCTCGTTTTGCTATAACTGGATCAAATCATTTCTACTTGGATCTCGCTGACATGTAACCACCTAAACTGGATACAACAACTACTGAAAACAGGGTAAAGCCATACATTTAAAAATGTATGGATTTGAAGTAGGGATGCACCCACACCAATACTGGTATCAGGTATCAAGACGATACCATAGGCTTGTACTTGTATTCGTACTCATGCTATAAGACCTGATCCGGGAAACCTATACCCACATTTTTAAATTACATCAGCACAGCAGTTTTTTAAAGTAAAGGAGTGATGAGAGTAAAGTGGACAGTATGTTGTGTAAAGCAACACTGTCATGAGGTGTGTCAAAACAAACACTTATAACACCAGCAACTTTATCAAACATCTGAAAACCACACCTTTGCTATCACCGGAGCTAGCACAGGAGCTAGCATCGGAGCAAAAAACCTCCAAGTTTACAACATAGCATTTTTGAGTGGAATATGACAGTGGCTCTTGATGTTGACTGTTAAAACAATTGGTAAAATGTTTAATTGTTAAAGCATTTTATAATTTTTGAAATGAGAAATAAAACTCGTATCAGTATTCGGTATCGGCAAGTACGTAAATTAAGGTACTCGTATCGGTTTTGAAAAAAGTGGTATCGGTGCATCCAGGAGCATATAGGCCACACTGATGAGGGATGAAATACACAGTCTGTCTGCAAGTGCATTGTTTTACTTTGGTTTCGTTACATATAGTGATGCCAACACACATTTCTAGTCCCTGCACTATAGCTCAATATCACCAAATTTACTGTATATTTGAATGAATGTATACAAAATATAGCTTTGTATATATGAAACTGTTTTTCGTTGGCCGTTGCTTACATGTGTATTTGTTACAAGAGTGAAGCTCTTACATCAGAGTTTGGGCTTCTCCATGTGCAGCTCTTTGTGTATACTATATACAGTATATATAAATATATAAATGCATATCATACACCTATTTGAACCTTCCATAGACTTAAACTAAACTATCTACTAACAGGCTTCACTGTGTTGTGTTTTGGTCAAATATAGAAATGATCCCACATTCACTGACCTTTCGGGATCAACAATTAATTTAAAGTATATCTAGGCAACTAATCGATTATCTAATAAATGGTAATTATAGCTCAAGTCTGCATTGTGAATAACCTATAGTCTCAATACTACTACTAAATTTAATTTTGTCTTCTGTTTAATGCAGAAGGTCCTTTTAATAAGACAAAAATGTAAAAAAGAAATTTGGCGTAGACTTCCGCCTTCATCAGTGGTGACACGTGATGTTGTGGCGTGTCTTTTATCAGCTGTTGTTACCAGATGTGGAGGCGGAAGTCTACCGCCGAAACTTGTCAGGTAATTAAGCAGTACTAGCTTCTTTACATTTTCGTTTTATAAAAAGAACCTTCTAAGCGTCAATACTGCACAATTGCATAGTTTCAGATCGGAGCATTTAGACTAAATTGGGTATATTGTGTATTTTTTAAGCTCCTTTTCACTTGTGAAATGTATTTGCTTTGTTATGTATTATACTTGAATGCATGTTGTTCTCAGCTCTGGCATGGGGTCCTGTCTCAACAACGTGCCCATAAAGCTGGAGTTCAGCTACCCCACCACCGCCCCAGGACAGGCTTACGATGCAGATGAGCAATGTCGCTTCCAGTACGGCGTTCGCTCTCGCCAATGTAAATACGCAGTAAGTGTCTTTCAGCTGCTCAAAGGATGTAACAAACTCTTCTGTTATCACACCACCAAATACACTTGAACATTTACACACCCAGATTTGTTGTTTTGGCCATGCACTTTTTTCATTCATTGTTAGTGGGTTTTTAAGCCATTTATTTTCCAATAAACATGTTTTATATTTTAGAAGTAAAACATAATTGAGCCACTCTATGGAAATCTTAAACATGCATTTCATGCAAGGCTTTCTTTAAAACATGCATATAAGGTAAAATCCTCCAGCTTACCTGAGCAAGCTGAGCATCAACAACTAGAGATGGGCCCCCAGGCACTGTACTACGATAACCACTGCTTCTGACGGAGGCACTGGTGGCATTAGAGGAGAGGGGTCAAATGCCGAGGACAAATAAAGTATGACCCTTATTTACGAAGAATAGCCATTTTTACCTTTCGAGAGGATAAAAAACCTCAAGATACTCCGAGCTGTCATGGATGTTATAGGGTAACACATGCTGTTGAGAACTGGGGATGATACTTCTGATCAGGGTCAGAAGAGTTTCTAGATTCATTTCAAGATGGAAAACACATTTATTTAACACTAACTATAGTGTCAAATGTACGGAACAGCACACGTAACAGCACAAATGTGATACCAGGACTCAAGTAGTTGTAATGTGAGACCCATGTTGGATGTATATATTTACAAAGTCGGCGATTCACAAACACAGATCAGAGAATCAAACACAGGAAATGCAATGATAATAGAACACTAGACCCATTGGTCTAGGGGCAGATGACCAATGTCCATAAATGTTGCTGGATGTTGAATGTCCTGGATCATCACCACTGTCAAATTGAGTAATCATTTGTTATAAGCCTCATTTATTTATTTGGTGTTGTTCCAGTGGGGGCGGGTCCCGGCTCAAAAGTGGCCAAAATGACGTGCGCTGACATGCTTGCAATACCATCCCTGGCCGATGGGGGTGGACCCAGAAGAAGAATTAGCCAATGCTAACATATATTTTTTTGGACCGCTCTAGTTTACTCACTGTGAGTTTTTGAAGTCTCTCGTTCAAATCAATGGAGCTCTCGCCGGCTGACGCATGCGCAGATGCGTTTTTTTCACATTTTTCTTGTGGGCGGGACCACTCGCGGCCATCTTGGATTGCTCCATGAAAGCACTTTTCATGGCCAACTCCTGTGAACGGCGGAGATAGGCGTGACTCTGTCCGTTACTATATACAATCTATGTGTTGTTCCTATAATTTTTTTTTTTATCATTGTAAAGCCCATGTTTATTCCCCAGTTCAGTCCAGTGTCTAATCCTCTTAATATCTATGCTGCCGTAGAGAGCACACTGGCCATCTGGAGATACACACTGCTTTATAGACTCGTTGCTGTCAGTGTTGTGTGGTCAGAGCATGTGTCCACAGTAAAACCCCAGGTGTAAGAGACATTGTTGGATGAGGAGCAAGAGCCAGTGCCGTAGAGAGAGTCTCTCTCAACAGTCTGTGGATCAAAGAAGCAATACCTCTTTGAAAAGCAGACCACTTGATAGGGCTCCTATCAGCCATTATTAAAACCATTCATTCTGAGCCTGCTCAAAGCATCAATCCCACATCATTGACCAAACTGTCGACAACCTTATAATCTACATTGGATACTGCAGCCCCCATAACATAGAAAACTCTCAGGATAAGACATGCCTCTCCATGGTCTAATCCCACACTGTGTTCTCTAATTATTTTTTTGATAGGCTATGTCGCCACTTCCCCCTGGAGCTTGCTCACAGGGAGTGGAGAATACTCCTCAAGTGGCTCCTGGAGCCTTTTAAAAAATGTCTGAAAATGGAGTGGGAGGGCTATATTTTATTTATAGTTTGAATGTGGTGTATGTAGGGGGAAAACAATTCTTAACGTTTTTAAATGCTGTAAAAATGTGCATAAGTAATACTCAATTTCAATATTTCTGTCAACGTAGTGCGTCATATCCTGTGACGCGACCCTGCGCCAGGCGGCCGCTGTGGTAAACAAACCGGCGTGTGCGCATGGATCCCAAAGCTAAAAAGAGAAATAGTCGAGAATAAGACTGGACTAAGAATAAGAATGACCATTTGCTTTCAGTCTATGAGGAAGGACTGCTTCATGTTTGCGTTGTAATGACAAGTTTTGTTGCAACACAAGGAACATTAAAGCGCAAAACACCGTTCACTGAAGGATTCATTCATCAAAAATTCACAACACCTATTTTCAGGCTTCAAAAACTTCCGCAAAGACGGGGAAAGAAAGGACCATTAAGAACATTAATTCAGCTCCAACAAACTTCAGCCTGTGATATGATGGATATGCACAGACAGTGCTGTGATGTAGGTATATGAACTCTGTGCCAAAAGCAGATTTATTTCTACAATTGCATTAAGGCAAAAAAATTGAAGATAAACTTTAAGCAGAGTCGTCACGTGGTGCGTCATTCTCTCCAGGACACGCTGCAGTGAAAATACACATATGATAATGATGAATGCTTATTATGTATTTGTAGCCTTTGCTTTGTCATTTAGATATTAGGCTAATAAACCTAATACAGCTTGCAGCCTGTGTTACCGTCATATAAGCCTTTTACAAGGCTGTTATTTTTTTGCGGCTCCAGACAAATGTTGTTTTTAGTTTTTTTTTGTCAAATATGGCTCTTTGAACCTTTTGAGTTGCTGACCCCTGGAATAGGACAATAAGAGTACCCTTCGTAGGGCTCAATATATGATAAAAATAACAGTAGATTATTCTTCGGCACTGTAACCAAACTAAAAAACTGCCACAGCGTAGTTTTGTTAGTTTAGAACTAAACTACGTGTGCCTCCTGGACCCCCTGCAGTTCGCCTACAGAGCCAACAGATCTGTAGACGACGCCATTAACCTGGCCCTCCACCACATCCTACAGCACCTGGACTCCCCGGGGACCTACGCAGGGTCCTGTTCGTGGACTTCAGCTCTGCCTTCAACACAATCCTGCCATCCCTGCTCCAGGACAAGCTCTCCCAGCTCAACGTGCCCGATTCCACCTGCAGGTGGATCACTGACTTCCTGACGGACAGGAAGCAGCGAGTGCGTCTGGGGAAGAATGTCTCGGACTCTCGGATTATAAATACAGGAGCCTCACAGGGCTGTGTTCTTTCTCCCCTGCTCTTTTCCCTGTACACCAACCACTGCACCTCCAGCCACGACTCCGTGAAGCTGATCAAGTTCGCGGACGACACCACCCTCATTGGACTCATCTCCAACAACGATGAGTCCGCCTACAGGAGGGAGGTGGACCGGCTGGTGTCCTGGTGCAGTGGTAACAACCTGGAGCTGAACGCCCAGAAGACAGTGGAGATGATTGTGGACTTCAGGAAGAGCACTGTCCCCCCGCCCCCACCCTCCGTGATGGACTCCCCCATCACCTCTGTGGAGTCCTTCCGTTTCCTGGGCACCACCATCACCCAGGACCTCAAGTGGGAGCCGACCATCAGCTCCCTCATCAAGAAGGCCCAGCAGAGGATGTACAGTGCCTTGCGAAAGTATTCGGCCCCCCTGAACTTTTCAAAATTTTGCCACATTTCAGGCTTCAAACATAAAGATATAAAATTAGAATTTTTTGTCATGAATCAACAACAAGTAGGACACAATCGTGAAGTGGAACGAAATGTATTGGATAATTTAAACTTTTTTAACAAATAAAAAACTGAAAAGTGGGGCGTGCAATATTATTCGGCCCCTTTACTTTCAGTGCAGCAAACTCACTCCAGAAGTTCAGTGAGGATCTTTGAATGATCCAATGTTGTCCTAAATGACTGATGATGATAAATAGAATGCACCTGTGTGTAATCAAATCTCTGTATAAATGCACCTGCTCTTTGATAGTCTCAGGGTTCTGTCTAAAGCGCAGAGAGAACCATGAAGACAAAGGAACACACCAGGCAGGTCCGAGATACTGTTGTGGAGAAGTTTAAAGCCGGATTTGGATACAAAAAGATTTCCCAAGCTTTAAACATTTCAAGGAGCACTGTGCAAGCAATTATATTGAAATGGAAGGAGTATCAGACCACTGCAAATCTACCAAGACCCGGCCGTCCCTCCAAACTTTCATCTCAAACAAGGAGAAGACTGATCAGAGATGCAGCCAAGAGGCCCATGATCACTCTGGATGAACTGCAGATAACTACAGCTGAGGTGGGAGAGTCTGTCCATAGGACAACAATCAGTCGTGCACTGCACAAAGAGTGGCAAGAAGAAAGCCATTTCTCAAAGATATCCATAAAAAGTCTCGTTTAAAGTTTGCCACAAGCCACCTGGGAGACACACCAAACATGTGGAAGGTGCTCTAGTCAGATGAAACCAAAATGGAACTTTTTGGCCACAATGCAAAACTATATGTTTGGCGTAAAAGCAACACAGCTCATCACCCTGAACACACCATCCCCACTGTCAAACATGGTGGTGGCAGCATCATGCTTTGGGCCTGCTGTTCTTCAGCAGGGACAGGGAAGATGGCTAACATTGATGGGAAGATGGATGGAGCCAAATACAGGACCATTCTGGAAGAAAACCTGTTGGAGTCTGCAAAAGACCTGAGACTGGGACGGAGATTTATCTTCCAACAGGACAATGATCCAAAACATAAAGCCAAATCTACAATGGAATGGTTCACAAATAGACGTATCCAAGTGTTAGAATGGCCAAGTCAAAGTCCAGACCTGAATCCAATCGAGAATCTGTGGAAAGAGCTGAAGACTGCTGTTCACAAACGCTCTCCATCCAACCTCACTGAGCTCGAGCTGTTTTGCAAGGAAGAATGGGCAAGAATTCCAGTCTCTCGATGTGCAAAACTGATAGAGACATTGCAGCTGTAATTGCAGCAAAAGGAGGCGCTACAAAGTATTAGCGCAAGGGGCCGAATAATATTGCACGCCCCACTTTTCAGTTTTTTATTTGTTAAAAAAGTTTAAATTATCCAATAAATTTCGTTCTACTTCACAATTGTGTCCCACTTGTTGTTGATTCTTGACAAAAAATGTAATTTTTATATCTTTATATTTGAAGCCTGAAATGTGGCAAAATGTTGAAAGGTTCAAGGGGGCCGAATACTTTTGCAAGGCACTGTACTTCCTGCGGCAGCTCAGGAAAGCCAAGCTGCCTGCACAGATGTTGGTGCAGTTCTACACGGCCATCATCGAGTCCATCCTCACCTCCTCCGTCACCGTGTGGTTCGCTGGAGCCACAGTCAGGGACAAACAGAGACTACAGCGCATTGTGCGCTCTGCAGAGGAAGTGATCGGCCGCAGCCTTCCATCGCTGCAGGTCCTGTACGTCGCCCGAGCTCGAGGCCGGGCTGGTTGTATCACAGCTGACCCCTCTCACCCTGCACATGGACTATTCCAACCACTCCCCTCAGGCAGGAGGCTGCGGTCCATCAGGACTAGAACCTCCCGCCACAAGAACAGTTTCTTCCCCTCCGCTGTTGGACTCTTGAACACTTCTTAACCTGTCCCCCCGCCCTTTATAAAGTCACTTTACTGCCCATCATACGTAACTTTACTTCACTGTACTGCTGTCACCTTACATTGTGTGCACCATGTGCACTTGTATATTGTAAATAGTAACTGTAACTCTATTTTAAATTTAAATGTATTCTTTAGAAGTGTTTTTTATTCTTATTTTTATTATCTCTTTTTGACTGTTGCACTGAGCCAAAGCAATTTCCAAGTCTGTGACCTCCTGTTACTTACGTGGCAATAAAAATGATTCTGATTCTGATTCATCTACCCGGAAAAAACTGAAGAAATCTTACTCAGCCCCAAACATCTAAGTGACTCCCACTTATTTTGACATAGACTATGAATGGATTTTATTTGAATCTTTTCTTGCAACCAAAAGTAGTGTACCAGAGGTAGAAAACTCCTAGGTCATACCGCTCTCTTACGGTTATGGCTTGTTAATAATAATAATGCATTGGTTTTATACAGCGCTTTTTGGACTCTCAAAGACACTATGTCTTTATTCATTCACTCCAAACACAGTTGTAATAAACTACGTCCTTGAGTGCCTAGAAAGGCGCCATATAAATAAATTGTATTAATATTATTATTATTGTAGTCCTGGGGCATAGCTGCCCTGGGGAACACTGAAAGAAGGGAGGCAACCACCTCCTTCACCCTTCACGCTCACTGTGGGTTAAGTGTCTTGCTTAAGGACACAACGGCAGTTTGGCACTTTATAACCGCAGCTGCCCCACTGTAGCACCTGGTGTTCCCAGATGTCTCCCATCACACTGCATAGCTCCACACAATAGGCCACATATGGAAGTATCAAAGTACAGTAAATATCCACTGCCTTTTTGTTTGTTAACACGCACAGCTCTGACCTTCCACAAACACAATATAGGGCTCATTTGTCTTGAACAAAGGAGCATGTCTGTCTCAAAAGAGCAAGTCTATATTTTGTCTGTTTTTTTATCTGACAGGAAGTGTGCAGTGAGTTGTGGTGCATGAGCAAAAGCAACCGCTGCATCACCAGCAGCATCCCAGCAGCAGAGGGGACCATCTGCCAAACCAGCACCATCGACAAAGGGGTGACTACCAATAACCTGTTTGGCAATTTCAATCCCTCAAAAAGGGAACTTTAAAATCCATCAAACTATAGTTCATCGCTCTCAAACAGTTTGCTTCTATATGTTTTTCACATGTGTAGCAATTCATGATAACAAAAAGACTAAACAAGGTTCAGATTCAGACCTTATGGGAATTACAATTTGCTAATTGAAAGTATTAGATTTGATTTATATATATCTATATCTTGCAGCCCTAAGAAAAATAAAGATATGTTGGCGTGATTATTATTTTAATAGTAATTCTTGAAAATTGCGTCTGTTTGATTGTCACTCCCTGTGCCCTGTGTCTGGTCTGACAGTGGTGCTACAAGCGTGTGTGTGTGGCCTATGGGACGCGTCCAGAGGGCATCGACGGGGGCTGGGCGGAGTGGTCTCCATGGGAGGAGTGCAGCCGCACCTGTGGAGGGGGTGTGTCCTCCTCTGTGCGACACTGTGACAGCCCCAGGTAAGTCTGTTCTTAAATTCTTGCATTCATCAGACTAGTGCAGTGCTTGTAAGGAAGCATGTTTTGCTCAGGGGTGGGCAGGTGTGTGGGTTTGCTGCAGGGGACCACATTGGAATATCGTCATATTTAGAACGCTCTGACCCAATTTTGTAAAAAAATAAAAAAAATCCCGTTAAAACTGTATTTATTTGATGAACGTAATATGCAAGACATCCGGAGCCGAGGTATCAAGTGTTTGTTTATAGCACATATTTTGCATCTTGTATAGCACAAATTGTATGCTCATGAGTTTTAAACTGGATGTGCACTGATCCATTGACCAATCACAATACAATACAATACAATACAATTTATTCTTGTATAGCCCTAGGTCACAACAGAAGTCATCTCAGAGGACTTAACAAAACCATTGAAATCACCAACACAGATCAGAGAATCAACAGTTAAAACACATGAAAAATATAAAGCACACACAGAATAAAATGTCCATACATGTTGTAGAATGCTAAAATGTCCTGATCATCACCAATCCTTTCTGTTGGACACTAACTGTCCAACAAGACCCTCCTGAATCGACAAGGAAAAACTCTTAAAAAACCCAGTGGGAAAAAGTGAGAAACCTTGGGCGAACTAGGGAATCACAGGCAAACCTTATTGTGACCGTATGGATGATTCAAAGTGAAAATGTGTTCAGTTCACAACCGGCAACCTCCGCTTCATCGGTCACCGGGTTGCAGGGACAGCAGTCTTAGCAGTGACAAGTGCCAAGATTTTCCCACCGCACACAGTATCCCCGCAACTCCCGTGGCGTTCCCCGGCCAGCTGGGAGACATGTCCTGGGTCTCCTCCTGGTGGGACATGCTTGGGAAACCCTCCAAAGGAGTCGTCCAGGAGGAATCCGGAACAGATACCCAAGCCTCCTCAACTGTCTCCTCTCCACGTGGAGAAGCAGCAGCTCTTCTTCAAACTCCTTTTGTGTGAGTGAGCTCCTCACCCTATCTCTAGGGTGGGACACCCAGCCACTCTGCAGAGGAAACTCATTTCGACCTCTTGTACCTCAATCTTGTCCTTTCGGATCTCTCGTGACCATAAGTGTTTGTGTTTAATCAACAATGTCTTATCGAGTAAGGCTCACCATGCAGAGCAGTACTCATGAAAAGGAGATGCAGCCTCACTTCATCACATCCGCGTTTCTCCTCTTCCAAAAGAGCAGCTATATAATATGAATGTGTGAAGTATAGGAGTTGTTTGAAATCATTCTTGGGCTAATAAAGCACATGCATAAAGATAATATCCTTGTCTAATAGGCGCCGTAAAGATGGCGCCGTGGCAAGAGCTCTGGTGTGTGTCCTAGTGCACACTGGGGTAGTCTTGCACAGTTTTTCCAATGTGGTTTTACTGCAAATGGCAAATAAATGAATCTGAATCTGAATCTTATAGTAAAAATAATTACAATTTGTTCTTAAGAACAAATGTGTTCGGAAGTCCTACTTACGAGGATTTTACGAAGATTGTGGCATTCATGAGATTTTCTCTTAACCAGGACTTCTCTTAGGTAAGAACAAATCCTATAAACTCTCAGGAGCACTCTTAAGCACATTCAGTGCCGACATGTTGGCATGCTAGTGTTGTCTACTTTTGTTTAGGTCAATCAAACAGAACATTGATATGTCTTGATTTATTTTTACACGTGCTCAAACAATGATAAATCCGCACGGAATGGTTTTATTCCTGCTGTAGTACACAGTATAATGAATGGGCAGAAAGATAGTTTTCTCAAAATGTTTGAAATGTTGCACGTAATTGCCAACAAACACTCCCCAATATGTGTCAATGGCAAAATCAAAGAGACACACAATCACTTATCATAGGCATTCAAAATACACAGTGTCGCTCCCATCAGGGCTCAAGGAAGAGGGCCGTTTGACGCCGCTTGCGGCTTTAATTATTATTATTAATAATAATTAAAGCTGCCAAATTTTGTTCAGTCACCGTAGCTATTTGAAAAATTCACCAAAGAACAATTGTTGACTTTGATCTTGACACCACTGGTTTTAACAAATATTTGAAGGAACATGTTGGGGACTTGGGGAGAGCTGTTTTAGTTGAGAGAAACCTGCTTCAACCCTCCCCTGTTCTCCCTCCGGGGGACTGTTCCTGATCTGGATCCTGCTCCTTCATCTGCTCTGGTCTCTTCAGACATTGAATTTATCTGTGGTTGCTGTTGCCTTTTTTTGACCAATCCACTCATCATCCTGGGTCCAAGATGTCGTGTCTCTCTGGACCGCTGCCTTATTGGAGGATTGGAGCGTTTAGTTTGCATGTTGATGCTCTTAAACTCCTACATCTGTTTTGGCTCGTGCACAAAAGTTTGGCATACCCAAATGTCTTTGCTTATTTAAAAACACATCTTACATCTCACATGCTTGTGTGATGCATCATTTTAAAGCTAGGCCCTTCTAGTTTATGTAAATATACACTGAAATAATGTATGTCATTCCTATTTCACTCTGCATCCTGCTTTTTTTAGCCTCGCCGAAAAAATTCAATGTATAAATTCCCTAAAAAAGCCTACTTCATTGGAAGAAGAAAATGTTCAATGCTAATTTGTTTTATGGTTTTTATGCAGTTTATTTTTTTTATCAAGTAGTGCCATTCGGAACCAATTTGGCAAAATGTGTGCCAAATTGTGCCAAACTGCTTTACTAACATTTCACCATCATAAAAAGCATATTTTTTAGTTTTGGTACTTATAAGTTACAAATCTGTGTGATTTTTTTTTTTTTTCAAAATTATTTTTTTAGTAGTGTAAATGCATATAAAATATGCGTAGCAGTACTAACAGCGTCTTTACGCACGCTTTTACTATGAAAATAAAAAGAGTTCCTACAAGTCCCACCCATCAAAAGAAAGCTTTTTATTGGCTACTTACACACAAAAACGGACCCTCTGCAAGTGGATGCGGTTTGTCTTTTTCACAAGGGTCCTGCGGACTGAAAACTGCTCCTGTCTTTTCATGGAGCAGTTTTGAAGCTAAGAACTCAAGGAGCACGTGGATATGATGTTTGTGGGGGTAAACAAAGCTCAAACTTGGTGAAATGTGAAAAAGAAGCCTGAACATTTTTCGGAGCGTTTTTTTTTTTTTGCAACAGAAAAATGCACATTTTTGTATTATTTCTGAAGAATGGATTATACTTTGGGAAATACAAGTGGATATTCTTTTTCAATGAAGACTTACGGAGAGAAAGAGACTAAGCAAGGATGGATCAAGTCTAATTTGTTGGAGCAGCAGAAGACGAAAGGTATAAAACTTATACAAACACGATTTATTTTGTGCCCATATTATGCGTTATATCTTTTTAATGCAAAGTCTGATATTGTTTACACTTACATATAAATATAGCTGAGAAAATAAGCTTTAAAATGATATATAGCTTGTGGCTTATGAAGTTCAAAATACATCTGCTATTGCCAGCAGATGTATTTTTTTTCCCGTTTCTTGTTTTGAGCTTAAGAGGTTAATAAATCATCTTAACTTTTAGTTACCTGTTGTCCTTCATGTTGCACCTGTAGAGCCAGGGTGTAACACACACAATCACAGATCATAGGCATTCAATATGCACAGTGTCGCTGTAGGAAGATGGAGCGTCAGCGCCACCTCCTTTGCTCAGTACGCCAAGGGCCGTTCGGCGCCGCTTGCGGCTTTAATTTTTATTTATTTTTTCTTCTGAGCTTTGAACCTTAATTTGACCCCCTGAACATGCATGAAAACTTGTGAAAGTTTGCACAAAATTCAGAACCGACAAAATATATTTATTTTTTGTGTTTATTTTTATGGGACATGGCTTATTTTTTACTTTGTTGCTGTGGCGATGACAAACACTCCCCATTATGTGTCAATGGGGATATATATCAACATATCAAAGAGACACACAATCACTTATCATAGGCATTCAAAATACACAAGGCTCCAATCAGGGCTCTAGGAAGATGGCACGTCATACATATCTTTAAGAATGTTTGATATGGTTCCCAGTGTTCTTCAGCAGCGTCTCCGCTCTCTGTTCCTGATTGTGTAGCGTCCGAGATCAGGCGTTGTCGTGGAGAGGGTTCGTGTGGATGTGCTGCTGCAGGAGGACCTTGCCCGTTCTGGTTCTGGTTCTGATTAAAGTTGGCTCTGCAGGGCTTCATCAGTGATTGAAGAAAATAAATAAATAAGTAAAAATCAAGCCAAGGTTGCAACCCCAGTCCAATACTAAAGCCGTATTTGAGCTTACACACTATAACTTCTCCCTTACTGGGCACATGTTTTAAATATAAAAAGAAAGTCCAGACAATAAAACAAATTACCTTCCGATTCATCTGAGTATAGCAGCAGCACAGGGAGGGGGTGACAGCGTTGCATTGGGGCCCAGGTCTGTGTCCAGAGTAGGAGTATGACAATATATCGATCTGGTAATGTATCGCGATACTTTCTCATGCAATCAATTATCGATATGCTTTCAATAAAAAAAAATGTAAATTATTTTTTTTTTTAAAAGCTTTATTTGAATGAAAATAAGTATCGATACTTAATATATGGCTACATTACACATTCTACAATTTCTGTAGAATGTTCATATTGATTTTGTTGAATGTAAGACAGATTAAGTAAGATTTTTACTAAAATGTGCGGGTTAAAAGGCATTTTTGCACTTGACACTTTTTCCATTTATCTTTAAAGAAAGTTTACTTTTTCACTTAATTTATGCCATAAATTTTAAAAAAATATTATCGTAGGTATATTTTTGACCAATATATCAATAATCGCTACATCGTCATATCGTGAGATAATCATCATTGTGAGATTTGTATCGCACATCGTATTGAGCGGTACCCTGAGGTTCCCACCCCTAGTCCAGAGACTCAGTCGATGGTAGACAAAAAAAAAAGATGGTAAATTTCAATCATCAATTAAATGGAATACATTATTGTGATTTTGATTTTTCCAAAGTCAACCTGAGAATGCCATCTCACCGATGGCCCCCGACGCGCTGGTCTAATTCAGACATGGGTGTCGAGTCTGCTGTCCCCCCTCCAGTCTGTTACGTCTCCCGACGGAAATTTTCTATGTTTCTTTTTGTTTTGCATTTAAGGTCGAACCATTCGTTTTTTTACTTCCTCTATTGTGCGTCCCTCTCCTGACACAGCATGCACGCCAAACTCCTTTTTACTTGTGTAGTGCAAGACGGCTCAATATGATGTTCTTCCTCCTATATTTATTCACACATGTGTAAAACAGTTATTATATATATACTGTTATATACATTGATGCATGCATTTCTTTGCAAATGAAATCTATTTTCAAACATTTATTCATATATTTATTTATTCATATATTCATTATTTTGGTTCTCCATATTCTTTGCTTAAAGCTGCACTAACTGACTTTATTTTTGTATTCTTTACGAAAATGCTATGTCCATGCAGTGCATTGGGATATACGTCCTTTTGAAGAAAAAGTAGCGCAGAAATGTGCTGGCGTGACATATTTTAGATTGAGTTTTGATGAAACAAGGAAGAGAATGTGTTTCGGGTCGCAGATTGTGACCAATCACAGCAAACCACTAGCCCCCAATTTCGTGAGAAATCTACAGGTCCGTTAACATAGACGGCTGAGTTAGCACAACAAGCGGCGGAGCTAACCTGAAACTTCCTCGTCTTCGTCACCGGTTACTGCTTACACACGAAACAGCCATCCAAAAGAAAGTCTCGTTCCTCCGCGCTTCCCGGTTCTATCGTTCTATGGTCACGCCATCCACGTGCAAATCCATATCCATGTATTATCCATATCGGGAGACGCTAGCTCCGTCCCAACAGTGAGTGTGTGTGGGGGGCGATAGCTTTGTGGGTGCGGGGAGGGGAGCAGAAAGAGAGAGGCCAGCGAGTCCGCGGCTTCAAAATCCCAAAGTCAGTTAGTGCAGCTTTAAGGCATTTTGCTGTTTCCACTGAGTGGCGTCTGCACACGGCCCTGCAGTCCCTTTTATTGGCATTAATGGGCGGTTACCTATGCTAAGTACCTATGCTATTGACTCACCTGGCATGCGCGCTCAATTTACGAAGAGATGGCATTCATCAATCTAAGAGAACAGCTGCGAACAATTCAGCTTCTTGAGAACGCGTCGATGAATCCACGTAGGCTCTTCTTAGAAATCTTCTTAAGAACGATTTAAGTAGAAAATTAAGAAAATTCTTTAGATATTGGTGAATGAGGCCCATTTGTTTTTTGCTCCTGCCGCTCTACTATCAGAAACTTTTCGACACAGAAAAGTGTCAATGACAAGGAAAACTATTAACATCCTCAAAATCGGTGAAAAGGCGATTATGTCATCATGTCATGTCCGTTTTCATTCAAATCTCAAAGGATTTTCCTTTTATCTATTGGATTTCAGACCAACCATTGGTGGGAAATATTGCCTGGGCGAAAGAAAACGCTTCAGATCGTGCAACATTGATGTAAGTTTGTGTTTCTCTCTCAGAAGCCACAGTATACTGTATATGCTGACTGACCCTAACCCTTGTGCTTTGCAGGACTGTCCGTCAGGCTCTCAGGACTTCAGAGCCATCCAGTGTTCCGACTTTGACAGCGTGTCGTTCAGAGGGAAGTTCTACACGTGGAGGCCTTACAGAGGAGGTGCGACTTACTTTCACGATGTATTTTTGGCTCATATTGACTTCTAATTATATAAAACCTAGATATCGCATGCGTGACAAAAATCAGAAATGCGTACTATCACTTGAGTTTGTAAGTGCCATTGCTTACTTCACATAGACCAGTCGCTGTTATGACTGGTGCAATGCAGTCAGAACAGAACAAACTACAACAGGCTGTCTTGTTTTGATTTTTTCTTCTTTTTTTTTTCATTATTAAGAAAGAGTCCTGTCATTATTTGAATTTTGAGCTGAGAGTGGATTATCTTAGCCGATTTAAACTTTAGCCTAAAAAATAAGCAGGTATAAAGAAGCATGTATAAAAAATACCATCTACACCATCTCAGGGGTGCACATAAAAGGTTATGTGCATCCCGGCCTATAGAACATACATGCTGGACAGATTCATGGTGTATTATTTTCATCTTGTATCAGTGTATTCTATACACTGTCAAAAGAAATAACAAAAGCAGAGATCGAGTAGCCTATATTAGACAGACTAATAATATGCTAATTTACCTGCATTTTTCAGTAGCTTGATGGTAACATCGCTACAAGTAGCATGGCTACTGCCCATCACTATAGAACAGCGGTGCCCACACTTTATCAAGGCAAGATTTACTTTTGCAGCAACCATTGACCTGTGATCTATCTGTGACTTATGTGGGTATTTATCATTCAGAATATCGTATTTGGTTCATGATGCATATGTGATTCAGGATCAAGTAATGAACATGTTGTCTTTATTCACATTTCATTGGCAGGAAAGAACTATTTATTTAATGCGCCTCCTGTTCGGCGACTCCGCTCCCATCTCTGTGTGGAGTGAGAGGACAAATGCCCAAAAAATAACAATTGAAAACCGCTTTGCGACTCTGGTCTGTGAAAGGCGGTATATAAATAAAGATTACTGACTTACTTTTACCTACTTACTGTCCCCTCTCTTCCCCTGCCTTGTCTTTTTTGGGTCACCCCCTCTCAACCCATTTCCCCTATGGCTGCTCACTTTGCCCCCTTTGCTGATTCTATTTTTTGCCAAGGTGGCGCCTTGGCGGGGACTTCGGATGTAAAATAGCATGAAGCTAAATCTGGTGTAGCCATCTTCATTCATTCATCAGTTTAGAAGTATTGTAGATGGTACAAAGTACACATCTGCTACACACTGTGTTCTTGTGTATATGCCTCTTATTATAAATGTCACCTATAACTGCTTAGTGTCATATTATTTATTTCTCTGTCAGTATGTAAACGACGTGGAGGATGACGGTCCCTACACACTCTCACGCAAGTGCAGTGAGAGACGCGCGCTCACATCATGTGGCATGCATACAGAACATGGACAATCGCATAAATCATGGAGAGACCTACGTGACAGACTCAGTGGGGGCGGGTCCCGGATCAAAAGTGGCCAAAATGACGTGCGCTGACATGCTTGCAATACCACCCCGGGTCGATGGGGGTGGACCCGGAATAAGAATTATTTAATGGTAACATATAGCATTAGCTGACCTCTCAAAAACGTCTTTACAGGATGGTCCAAAAGTTGGCTCTTGGCCCAAAGCTACGTTCCACATGTGTGTCAATGCTGAGGGGAGTGAATTAGTTTAGTCGCTGTGAAATTTTTAAGGCACTCGTTAAATGAATGGGGCTATTGCAGCTGATGCATTTTTTTGCATTTTCCAGCTCCCACGGTCATTTTGAAACTCCTCATAGTTTGGCACATGAGTCAGAACGGCGGAGATAGGCGTACAGTCTATGGACAGAATGGGAAACACCTGCAGCAAGAGCGGTGGAGCCTGTGGTAGCAGTGTCACAATCTATGAGTGGCACATGGTGCAGAGGAGGAGGGCAGAGATGTTAGGGAGGGTCTGGTGTGTCACTTTTTGTCAAATTCCTAAACATTTATTTTGCCCTTGTGTGTTTTGATCAAAAATAAAAAACTAGGGCTGTCAAACGATTACATTTTTTAATCGAGTAAATTACAGCTTAAAAATTAATTTATCGTAATTATTCCCATTTTGAACTATCAGTAAAATGTAAATGGTTATCTATAATGCTATCTGTAAATGGTTGTTTGAATGGAAAGATAAATGACAACATAGTGTACATATGTACTGTATTTGTTTATTATAACAATAAATCAACATAAAATGGCATTAACATTATTAATATTCTGTCTTAGTAGACACTATTTTTCAGCACGACATATTCCGCATCGGCTAAAGCCTCCTCTTTCTTCTTTTTCTCTATCTCATGAAGGCTGTGGATCCCTTCATTATTGTGCCTCTACAAACGATTGTTTGTTACAGGGATGAGAATGGGACATTTGAAAAAAGTCTGAAATGCATGTCAGCCAATGGCTGTCATTAACTTAGGTTAGGTTAAAGTTAGGTACCCCAGCTTTAATTTTGTGAGTTTTGTTGCGCTTCGGGAGAAGACTAGGGGGAGACGGACTGTTTCTCGCAGCGCTGTATTTATTGTGTGCACTGGTCACGCACACAACAAGCAGAGTATGTTCTTGTGCGTGTATATGGCCTTGGGTACATGGCCACATTACGGCTGCGCCCTTCCGTGCTGTTGAAAGCCGCTCACAGCTGCTGAACGCGGGAATCGCTGTCCAAAGCTGCCCAGCTGCCCCAGAACGCTGCGGACTCCCATTCACAGCAATTGCCCCGTCGTCATGCGCGCGGGGTGCCAGTCATTTGGCACATGCGTTAAAAGCGTTAATTTAACGCGATTAATGAATTTCTTTTATTAACGTGCGTTAACACGATAATTTTATCGGCCCTAATAAAAACAAATAACAGCAAATATGACTCCACTTTTGTTCATACATTTACCAAGGTTATTAGGATTTACTGACAAATATAATGTATGTAATGTAAATAGAAGTGAAAGTATACTGTATGGTAGGAAATCTTAACTTTTGCTTTTTTATCCACTTTTACAGACCAATGAATGCCAAAAAAACGTTTCTAGGGAGGGACAAGAAACATCTTCTTATGAACACATTTTATGGGATTAATATTTCATACACATTCATTTATGACCAAAATCATAAAATGTAGTTATATACCTGATTTTGAGCACCTTTGTTAATGTTGCCATGTTTAGTTTTGCGGCAAGGAAGTTGATTAACTCTGCGCAGGTTCGATTGATAATGTCTGTGAGCAGTGAAGTAATATTGACAGTTTGCTGACTGCTGAAATTTGTATTCTCAAAGAAGAAAATGCAAGCACATTAGAAAAAAATCGTACTCATAAGTACAAAATCAGTTTTATAGTTTTTTATTCTTAATTACAAAATTCCATGTCTTTTGAGTTTGTATTATCTTAATCATGAATTAATAAAATACCGATAAATATGCAAGCATTTTTTTTAGACATGCATGTCTTTATTGACAGTAACCTTACCCCATAGCTTTGCACCAACGGGATACGTAACCAGGTATTTTCACCGTTACTACAGACAAAAGTCACAAACAAAGAGCTGGGCGATCTCCTTGAAAACCTTTTTCGTTCAGTGTTGTGCCAACGGGGTTGAGTTGTGTTTACCATAGGATCGGATGTCGCACTTATGACGCTTCCAGTGATGACACTTGTTGGCCAATTAGTGTAAAGCAGTTAGCTGACGTCACATTTTAGTGGAGCTTCGGCCCCCTTATAAACCACGGCCGAGGTATTACCAACAAAGTACCCTAATCCCAACCCCAACCCTATAGTAGAAATGAAAAAAAAACCTCTCCATAGACTTCCTAGGGACAGCAGCATCTGTTGCACTTTAGGGCTTGTGTTAATGGTGCGATTAAAAAATGTATGCCGTTAAAATGGGGTTGCGTTAACGCTATTAACGTGGTAAACTAACAGCATTTGCTTAGAGCAAGGCTTGGGCAATCAACAGCTGCACCCTGTCAGTGATCAGATACCCTGCAGAAATAATCAGGTGGCCGAAGGAAGAAATTCAGACCACAGATGTTGAAACTCAAAAGCTGCTCATCATGCACGGTGGATTCCGACCCCAAATCCAGAAACTTGAGACTGTACGCAAGTCGTAAAGAATGACTATTGAGCCACTGTCTCGACAAATCATATACAAATCGTATACTTAGTGAATGTCTCAGACAGTGATGAGATGAGGAGGTGCTGGAAGAGGGCCCATCATGGGAGGACAAGCCCCTACAGAGCCCCAAATATACCACACCAGACAAGACCCAAGCTGTCAGTTGTGCGAAATCCATGGAATGGCTGGCATAGTGTACAGGAACACCTGTACAGAGAATGGGCTGGAAATCCCAAGGTCTAAATGGGAAACTCCTCCAAAAGAGGTGGAAAATCAGCGTGCGAACAGCCTTTGGGACTTCCAGATGATAATAATAATAATATTAATAATGCATCGGATTTATATAGTGCGCTTTTTTAGACACTCAAAAACACTTTACATGTAATTATTCATTCACTCCATACATGGTGGTGATATACTACTTGTGTAGCCACAGCTGCTCTGGGGCACACTGACAGAAGCGAGGCAATCAGTATGTGCCGTCGGCCCCTCCGACCACCTCCTACTATTCACACACACACCAGACTCATTCTAGGCAATGGGGGTGAAGTGTCTTGCCTAAGGACACAACAGCAGTTTGGCACTTTACAGCCGCAGCCGCCCCACTGTGGCATCTGGTGTTCCCAGAGTTTAAGTGTTTGCCAAGGACACAACGAAAGCAGACATCAGTGGGAGTCGGTGGAGAAAGTCTTGTGGTGGGCTCGAACCCACGACCATCTGGCTCAAAGGCCAATGCTCTACCAACTGATTTACTGTCGCCCTAAAGATACAGACCGACAAGATTGTAACTGCTATGTTCACCTGGGCTTAATTTCTTCTTTGATAATTTTTTTGCTTTAGTTCCCTCTTTTCTTCCTCATTGTTGCGTCATTTGGGCTGTTTTGCTGTGTCTGCAATTACAGCCAGAGGATGAATAGCCACTTTCTGCCTTCATGCTGGTGTGTTTACCTGCGCTGTAGACGTTAGAGGAGGCAGCCTGTTCGTAACAGCACTGCTCCTCGTTCTGTGATTGGAGGAGAGCTAGCGCCACGCTAAGTTTCTACTCAGCACTTTTTATGGCCTGAATTCATACACAAGCTGAATCAATGAGCTCAAGTTTTCAATTATATTACGGATTTGAATACAATGTGTATGTAGTAATACACATTTTATGAACTTGAAAATAAATCAGGTATAGCTTCTTTAAGCCAGGAAGCCTCTACCAGAGGCTTCCTGGCCTCTGGTAGAGGGTCTGAGGTGAGCGAGGTTTCTGGGGGTAAAAGGCGCCCGTTCATTGATTTGATAACAAATCTTTTGGATGGGTTGTGTTGCTTAGGCTTACAAATTTTTGCTTTACACTGAGCCCCTACACTGAAGCCTCTTTATTGTATCACAGAGCCGCATAAAAAATAAATTGTACGGATAAATTCTTGTCGTGCACTACACACACAACAGCGGTGCTGGCCCATTCTACTCAACACGTGCTGCTTTCAGCTGGTTTTACAATGGAAATCCCTCACAGCTGTGAAAATAGGACCTGTGCCACAGACTCTGCCCTGATCACGCCTTTCCCCACTCCTCCTGTGTCCTCCTCTGCCCCAAGTCATCTCTGAGTCTTTTCAGCTGCATCTCATAACATTTGCTTTCTCGTTACAGTTGCTATTAGAATTGTTTTTGAGTCTCTTTAATCCTTATCATATATTGTAACAACTTTGAGTGTGTATTTAAACTGTATAGCCGCATGGCTTCATCTGCTTTGTTTAGAGCCAAGTTGTCAGCTAAGGCTGCTATACCAAGAAAAAAACATTGTTCATTTAACGTTTTATTTGACCTAAATGAACATACAGTACACAGAGAGGAATTGGTTTTACGTTCAATAGGATCCTGGTGTTTTTATTTTGATCACACATAACCATTTACGAGCCCGAGCAACTGACCAACCTTCTGTCCGCAAATTCGGCAAGCAGTGCGAGATGGAACCAACGTAGCGCGCCTTATTGGTTCTTTGTCTTGTCTTTGGCTCCAGATTCCCGCTTTGCTAGCTTTATTTGCCTTAGTGAAGTGTTTTCTGCAATGAGGCAAACACGATGGGTCAGCACCCCACTCCTATGATTTTTATACAGAACCAATGAATCTACTTGCTGGAATAAGTGTGCCTTTACACAAAAGGATTTTTGTTTATTTCAGTTGGGACTTATTGAGTTTGGAAAGCATAGACAAACTGTAGTAGAGTAGTTTGACGTCCTTATCATCGTGCTTACAGTATAGCCAAAGCTCCATTTGCAGCACTTCCCTAGATGGGCTTTTACCACAACCCAGGAAAAAAAAGTTTCAACTTGACAATGTCAGACAACTATGGAACAGATGGAATACAAATACATCAGTAAAAGAAATTGTGAATCACAAATGCTTATGCCTTGTATTGAGTCTGGGTTGAGAATCTCACTGTGAAATCACAAATGGACATATTTAAAGTTACGTTTAAAAAATCATGAGGATTTTTGGTCACGTAATTCTGGTGACCGGAGCGTCTTTCTGCATAAACACATTCATTAGGAAACTGTAATTATCAAAGCCCTTATAGCAATGACAATGAGAGCATAATGAGTCAGAGAAATGCAATGAGAACAAATACACAACATGTGGTTTGTGAAGAGAAGTCTTTATGTGCACATATTTGACAGAAACATCAGTCTGAGCTCATATATTTTACCAGGGAGGGGGCTGAAGAGTTATTTTAACCAATGTCCTTTTGGAGAAACTCAGCTCAACTTGCCCTCACCTCCAGCACTTGTCTCCTTTGGCACAATGCCCGTTGGATGTCCATGCTTTTGCTCTTGAAAACTGCTTAGCTCTGTGGTTCATCGCTTGCAGATGCGAAATGATCTTTTTGTGAATTCCTTAGGATCTGTATTTATTGTATTTCAGACCTGACCTGAAGTTAAATACACAATGGAATTTTCTCAGCATTTGGCAATGTTCTTAGTAGTAGAAAATCTGTGTAGCTGATCAGGACAAAAGGCAGGTTTTGCAACAGGACACATGGAAATGGAAATGTTTTGATGTATACATAGTCCATTTAAGGCTCTAAGAGAACACAAACAACTAAAACATGGTCAAAGGCTGAAAGTATTTTTTTTTATGCTGCGTCCCCTTTAAACATGAATAATGAATCATACACACACAGTTAAGGTCACCAAGTTCTTATTATTATGTAATCACAAATGTAATATAATTTTCCTAGTTGTATTTGTCTCATTTATGAATGTTTAGTGTCATGTTTTGCATTTGTTTTGATTTTGTGATTTGACAAGCGAGTGGCAGAAACTGTTTATTTACAGCTAAGCCCACAAATCCCCAACCTCTAATGGCATTATCTCTGAAGCCTCCAGGTCTGGTGGAATCTGCAAGAACTTAACTTGCATATAACTCCAGTTTTGATCCTCTAACTTTGCACAATCCCGCCTAAAATGTTATATTTACAGTCCAACAACTCAGAGGCATGACGTAAAACTGCCATTCGCTTAGTTTGATCAGATTAAATCCACAATATTTATCTGAAAGAAAAAATTGTATGTTGTAATCAGAATAGTTTTGTGCGAGGCCTTCACTATGTCCTGGTTGGTTTGTTGCAGGTGGCATGAAGCCGTGCTCTCTCAACTGTTTGGCGGAGGGCTATAACTTCTACACAGAGCGCGCCCCAGCGGTGGTGGACGGGACGCCATGTCGCCAGGACTCCCTAGACGTGTGCGTGAATGGCGAATGTAAGGTACAGAAGGCCCAAGATGCAGGGATGGGCAAAAAGGGGATAAGTGGGCCTGCTTTAAATTGAGTCTCACTTTTCAATTTGTGAAGAGTGGATACATTTTTTTATGCAAGTTTCAATGAGTGAAAACTAGTGAAAACCCACCATTCACCACCCATTTTTAATTGCTTTGTTTTGGTTTCGTTATGTGAGGCAAAAGCAGGAAACATGGTGTGTTTATGGTGCTGCAGAAATAAAACGGGCTGCAAATACTCAAGTGAACAAGTGATGTGTGATTTGCCAAAAGTGCGCTTATACAGTATACCTGTACATTGCCTTTTTAATTACCAGTTCCAAAGTTTGAGTGCTTGGGTAAAGACAGGCACTGACGCGTCTGTCACGCACCGCGACCCGTTGCATTCACTATTGTGAAAGCAATAGGCCCTACCCCAGTCGGGGCCTGGGTCTAAATAAGGATTTTTTTTGGCGACATCTCTCGAGCAAAAACAATATAGGTTTCAATGGCACATGGTACATCATTTTAAAGCGTTTGAGTTTACGCACGCAACCGTCATGTTTTGGTGAGTAACAGACACGAATGTGTCCGTCAAGCTCTGCAACCCCTTTGCATTCACCATTGTGAAAGCAATTGGCCCTTACCCCAGTCGGGGCTCAGGCCTAATTAAAGCCACAAGCGGCGTCGAACCGCCCTTGCCGCACGGCGCAAAGGAGGGGCGGTTTATTGATTTGTTTAAAGGGAAGATTCAGAACTAGTGATGGGATGAGGTTGCTTTGAGTACAGCCAAATTCTTTCATCTCCTTCCAACAAACCTGCAACATGTTGATACAGTTCGCCAGTAATCGGGTACGCTGCTTGAGAAGAGCACAGTGCAGTTTGGCCAGAGAAAGACCTGGGAGCAAGCATATGGTGGGCACAGCAGAGTCACATTGTGACAGGCTGTGACAGGTGGCAGACGTGGGCGACCAAGCAAAGACACAATCCAGGTGTTGAGGCAACATCAGATACAACCGGAACCAGACAAAATCAGTACGTAAAACCGCTTACTTTTAACAAGCATAAAAACGTTTTGGTTCGGAGTGAGAAGCGGCAGCAAAACGTGCCAGCGTCCTCTCACTCCCGGGAGTCTTGCTGGCGTTATTTATATCAAATCAAATACTGAACCCATTTGTTATTTAGTAAAAACAATACAACCTTGTACGACTATAATGTATAGTATCTACCAGTAATGCTCTCATTACATGAATTGAAAAGACCAATCATGAATGCCTTGCGAAAGTGACAGCACAGCTTTTGCACATTTTGGTATGTCATTACCTCCTGTGGACTCACCACCTGCAGAGGGTCAGTGAGGGGCTGGTGCTATGAGACTTGGGTGGCATCTCTGATTGCCACCCCCCTGACCCAGAAATGGATTAAAGGGTAGAAAATGGATGGATGGATGGATGGTATGTCATTACCAGTGTTGGGTGTAATGAAAGTACACTAACAAAATACTCTTTCTGGGGAAAAGTAAAGGAACGTCCTAACTATCAACAATACGCCGTTTGTCTTTTGATGTTGATCCGCCGCAACTTTACTTTCTATTCACCATGGGCAGCTGTGACCACACATCTGCTGGAGCTTGCGCATCAGTCATGACTCGTCATTCCACAGTATTTGAAGAAAGAGGCCGCTAGTGGCAACGCTGCTCATCGCACTGACTTGCACTGACTTTGAGGCTGACTGACTGAGTGTTAGAGGTCCTAAAGCAATTCCCCTGAGTGAGAGCTGTGTTCATGATAACAACCCCATGATGTTACTTGCTCTGTGGCATATTTCATAATAAAGAACATGAAAGAAATATCATGAAAGTTATGGTCTTCCTAGTAGAACTTCCACAACACATTTAAGAACATTTCTGCTCAAAGTCAAGCATAATAACAGTAACACAAAAGTAAAGTCTCTCTTTCTTTAGAGAGTAACTAAGCAAAGTAACTGGTTAAAGTTACTAGTAACTTACACCCACAAAAAAAGATTTTATTTGGGATTTTTACGAGGAAAACCCTCGCAAAGTAAACAACAAGATATCTAAAACGCAAAAGTGGGGCTTGCACAAGTGGACACTTGTGCAAGATGGAGGTGTGGACTCCGACCAAGCCCCGGTGATCCAAGATGGCGCCCTATTCAAGTGAATGGCTTGTGCTCAGTAGCGCATGGGACATCACAGGCGCTGACATATTAGCGGAACTTGCCTATATTTGGGCATCGTCTGGTCCTCCCGGTTCTGCGCAGTCGACTAGCTCCTATGATGCGTTGCGCCAAATACGCGTGTGGCTCTCATGCACGTGCACAAAAGGGGCTCGGCCGCGCTTTGACCGATCAGCGCTGCTGATCAGAGCAGTGGTAGAGATGAGTCAGAGCGGGAAGGAAAACGGCGGAGTTTGTGGCAGTAAAGTGTGGATTTAAAGAAAACCAAAGGATTTAAGAAGGAAAAAAGTTCAGGATGACAAGGGACACTAAAATCCCCACAAAATCCAATCTTTATGAAAGCTGTAGGTTCTGTCAGCTGAGGTCGAGCTGTTTTAGTTTACATTGAGATCTATGGGGAAAATGAATGGGTAGCCCATGTGAATTTAGTCTGCAGTACGGTGGGACAGCTATAAGCTAGTAATACCCTATCCAGTTATTATTATAGATCCATGACTCCAACATTTATGTCTGGACTTGTTGGATCTATTGACAATAAACACTTGTTAAATCTTTTTTCTCTTCTTTCTCTCATCTTTAACTTATCTCCTCCGTCTTTCCCTCCTGTCTCTCATTTCTTTTCACTCTATTCAGTCTTTTCTTCCTCTTCTCTCTCCTATCTTTTTTCCCCTCTCTCTCTCTCTCTCTCTCTCTTCTGTCTCCCGGAGGTTTGGAGGAACCCACTGACCCTTTGGCTCAGCTCCTCTCGCTCTGGCTGCCTTCACCAAACTTATTTTTTTTTTTTTTCTTTTGGACTCACTGCATCTCCCAAACCTCTACATACAGCTTTCTCTCTTTTATCCACCGTATCAAGTCAAACAACATAGATCCAAAAATACTTCACTGTTCAGATGGTGTAGAATAATTGTTATTATTGTTAAATATTGGAATTAGATTTAAATCATGTGTTTAAATGGATCAAAGTAGAACACTTTCACTTGCAGGTGATTTAGCATGTCACAGATTCAGGATTTAATTTTACAGGTCAGCATTTTTAGAGTTTGTGTTTAGAATATAACTAGGTACAGCATGTACCTAGTTATATTCTGAGAGCAAGTTGTATCTTAGTACGTAAGAACCATCAGCCAATGGGGTCAATTTTTATTTCTTTGCGGAAAAATAGAGCATTTTTTAGAATTTTGTTTGGTCCTGAAAAAAGGATAAAAGGATGTGTCCTTCAGAAAGTTACGTACTGTTGCTTTAAGGGGCCTTGATAGTGTTTTTTCATCGCATTCCACTCTAATGTCAGGAACAACAGGAGAGATACAAACAACCCTCCACCCCTTGTGTCAATTTCTTTTGTTTTCAAACTTCTTTTGACAAATCCTCAGACATGGACAGAGTTGTTTACTATCTGTTTTTCTCCTCTCCTAGTTCCGCTCCTACCTTTCTGACTGCACCCTGTTCATCCAGCTTAAATTCCAGTTACTTCTGGTGTTCCACGTGGTTCTGTCGTTGGCTCCTTGTTATTCTTAATCTACCTTCTCCCTCTTTGTTACACTCCTTCACTGCTCCACAGATGACGTTCAGCTCTGCATCTCCACCAAACCAAAGTCCGCACCAGTGGCGGCTGGTGGAATTTTCTACTGGGGGGGCTATGAATATGATGACTAGATATATACCAGCAGTAAGTAAGTTTACACTGACTGTTGTGACTGAAGCCTCACACGAGAATGAAATATTTATCAATCAATCAATCAAAGTTTATTTGTAGAGCGCCTTTCATACACATGGCAACACAAAGCGCTTCACAGTCCACATCACAAATCATCACATAAAACAAACACCAGAATCACAATTAAAACATTAAAATCACACAAAAGATTAAAACACAATTAAAACATTAAAATCACACAAAAGAATAAAACCATTAAAACTTTCAAAATTACACAAGAAATTTAAATAAATAAATAAATGACAGCAGTGCATTAAAAATGGAGATAAAATCCTTCAGTTGTATGCACAGGCAAACAGAACAGTCTTTAACCTGGATTTGAACATTGACAGAGTAGACGCCTCCCTCACATTTTCAGGGAGATTGTTCCAGATCTTAGCTGCATGGATCTGAAACGCAGCCTCCCCATGTTTGGTTCTCACTCTGGGCACCAGCAGGAGGCCAGTCCCTGTGCTCCTCAGAGTCCGGGCTGGTTCATATGACACCAACATGTCACTAATGTATTCTGGTGCAAGGCCATGGAGAGACTTGTACACAAGCAGAGCCGTTTTAAAATCTATTCTTTGAGTCACAGGAAGCCAGTGCAGAGACCTGAGGACCGGACTAATATGGTCATACTTCCTGGTTCCTGTCAGGACTCTAGCTGCTGCATTTTGGATGTACTGCAGCTGCTTACAGGTCTGTTTGGACAGACCTGTAAGCAGGCCATTGCAGTAGTCTAGCCTGCTGGAGACAAATGCATGGACAAGAATCTCCAAGTCTGCCCTGGACACTATATTTCTAACTTTGGCAATGTTCTTCAGATGGTAAAAAGCTGTTGATGTTATTGATTTTATGTGGCTATTGAAATTTAGGTCTGAGTCCAGTATTACCCCCAAATTTCTGACCTTGTCTGAAGGAAGTAGAGAGAGAGACTGAAGTTGACAAATGACGCCCTCTCTTTGTTTCTGGGGACCAAAGACAATGATTTCGGTTTTGTCTGTATTTAGCTGGAGGAAATTATTTTGCATCCAGTCACTGATCTGTTGGATACAGTGAAGGAGCAAATCCAGTGGTCCATGTTCTCCTGCAGTCAGTGAGACATAGATCTGAGTGTCGTCG